CATCCATCCATCCATCCATCCATCCATCCATCTATCTATCTATCTATCTATCTATCTATCTATCTATCTATCTATCTATCTATCTATCTATCTATCTATCTATCTATCTATCTATCCATCTATCTATCTATCCATCCATCCATCCATCCATCTATCTATCTATCTATCTATCTATCTATCTATCTATCTATCTATCTATCTATCTATCTATCCATCTATCCATCTATCCATCATCCATCATCTATCTATCTATCTATCTATCTATCTATCCATCTATCCATCTATCTATCCTTGTTTTAATATTGCACCACGCTATGTTCTCTTCCTTTGCAATGGACAGACAACAGTCTGTTTACCATCAAGCTAACTACTAAATCACATACATTCATGTCCTTCAAAATAAGATACAGTACTTCTGGGTTTACAGGAAGTTACAAAATAAAGACACAAGAAAATAAGATTGAACTTCAAAATAAAATTATACCGGTAAGTGACATTTACACAGGGGGTTAGGAACGAGACAGAGCTGTAACAATGTGTGGAAACATTAAAATTGAAAACCCCGACTGCTAGCATAAACTGGTAACAGAAAAGTGAAACTGGAAAACAAGAGTACAGAAAACTCAAAAACCAGTTAAAAACTAATCAAAGCCTAATAAAGACCACAAACATTACAGAGAATCCCAGATGATCTGCCAGAGATACGAGGTGAGGAAGTGTGGGGATATTCAGCCTCTAACCACGTCTCAGCTGAAGCACCGACAGCTGAAGTTAAAGCAGCAGATGTTTGAATCGGCTTCATTTCACTTCATACATCATCAGCACAAACGATAAATCTTGATGTGGATTCATGGTTTTGTAGCTCTGAGGCCGCCGTAGCTCTAACCCGCTGTTCTGTGCTCAGCTCCGAGAGTGTCTGGAGCCTGAAGTTTATGAGCTGTTCCACAAGAAGCTGACGGAGCAGGCTCTCATCAAGGACCCAAAGTTTCTCTGGTGCTGCCATGTGAGTACACAACAAAGGTTTTACTAACAAAGACTATGTCATCCAGTATATTCATACAGTTTCAAAATCAGTAACTGAAAGGCTTTTAAAGAAATGTTATCAAGAGACTTCAGTATTAAAGTTCTTTTCCATCAGATAATGACACCAGTCCAAGGACTGTCTGGTCCTTTTTTCTAATTATTGACCTGAACATTCAGTTTTAGTGCTTAACACAGCTGCAGACAGCTGGACAAGGAGCTGTTAGTGCTTCTAAGTGGGATCAGCTGTCCATAAAGCAGGTCTTTGGATCATATCTACTGCTGATCCACTGATCCATCTCCACTACACTGTTTGAACTAAACATCCTTTAACCACTATGTGAGGTCATAAAGTCTAAATTGTCAGTAAATCTTCCTTTCATTCTTCTGCTTTCTATCATAGACTGGGTCTCAGAGGTGACTGACTGTTCTGTACAGTATTTGAAAACCATGTTTTTTGTCGTATTCTGATTGCAAAACTGTTCTAGGCGTGCACATTATTTTGTTGCCCACATTGCAACACACTCATCCTACTGTTCAATTTCAATTCAGTTTATTTATACAGCGCCAAGTCACAACATACGTTGTCTCAGGACACTGTACATAAAAAGAACAATCTAAAGAAGAAACCAGCAGATTGTGTTGAATCACTTCATCACAGTCTCCCATCCTGAGCAAACGATGGAGAGGAAAAACTCCCTGCTAATCAGGAAGAAACCTCCAGCAGAACCAGGCTCAGGACAGGAGACCATCTGCCTCGACCAGCTGGTTGAGGGACAGGAAAGAGACACAGACAAACACAGAAGAACTGGTCCAGGACTGGTCCAGGTGCACCTTCTTCTGAAAAAGACAAAGAAAAAACATGATAGAATTAATTACAATAAACATGTAGAGAAGAGAGACTAAAGACAACAGCAGAGTGAAGAAATGTGCTCAGTTTGTGCTCCAGCAGTCTAAGTCTACAGCAGCAGAAATGAAGAATAATTCAGGAAACCTAAGTGTAACTAAATGATTTATCAAAAAGGAATTCAGTCTAATCTTAAAAGTAGACAGAGTGTCAGCCTCACGGACAGAAACTGGAAGTTGGTTCCACAAGAGAGGAGCTTGATAACTGAAAGCTCTGCCTCATAACTGTAACCTCCTTAGCAGCTGGCCTCCCAGTTCATGATGTGATGAACTACGGTACGCTTCAGAAATGAGGTTAGGCAAATTTGAACCAGTTTTTGATCATTACTATTTATCTTCAGGGAGTTTTTACAGAGAAAACTTCCATGCAGGTGTCAAACTAGAACTTCAGAGAGAGGCAGGTAGTAGAGGAACAAGACTAAATCAACAAAGGTTAGAGATGAGACTAGTTTAGATTACTGCACAAATCTTTTGTATGCCTCTGGGACTCATAAATGAAGAATGTCCCAAAATGTTTTAGTTACTCCCAAAGAAAAAGCTGTTCACCAAGTCATCTCCAGTGACAGCCCAGTCAGACACGACCTGAAAGTCCAACATCCAGATTTATCATTCAAGCCTCTCTTAATGTGGAATCAGTGTTGTACAATACCATGGTCATAGATGATGTTCTTTATAAACCACACGTGTTAAAAACAAAGCAGTCAGAAAAACACTGGAGCACACAGCTGCAGACGTCACATCAAGAGTGATGTTGGTGAGACAAGATTTAGAAGATATCAATGATGACTGATCTGCAAACAATGAAATAAATGGTGGAACTGTTGGCTTCTGATGGCTCATCATGATGATGAGAACAGATGACTCATCAGCCTCAAACAGAGCAGAGCAGCTCCATGTCTTTAAACATCACTCAAACACTTTAAACCTGACTAAACTAAACACATTAACCCCACACCTTAACTGTAAATCCTCTAAATATCACAAATCTCATTACTCTCTCTATTGTTGCTGAATTCATTACCTTTTTGCATCTTTTTCTTGTTCCTAGATGTTTTGAAGCTTGACAAATAACTCAGTTAGAAAGGAGGTGGGGGTTTGCTTGTTTGTTCGGTGGGGGTTGGGGTGGGTTTGTGGAATAGCATTCTGTTTTTATTTACATTTTGTAATTTGTCCCAGCGTTTAGTAATGGAGTTTATAATATGTAAATATTACATTTGTCAAGTTTTGATTTAGAGCACAGTTGGATTTGTATACACATGGTTTATTATCTTTAATTCCCTCTCTTCTTCTCAGTGCTCCTATGGGTTTATCTATGATGGAGACCAGCTGAAGGTCATCTGTTTTCAGTGCAGGAACAGTTTCTGTGCTCAGTGCAAAAAGCCTGTAAGTCATTTTTTCTTTCTTCTTTCATTATTTATGTGATGGGCCAAGTTGAAACAGGAGGGGTCACAGGAATTATTAAAAAATAGGGTTTTTATTTTAACCCAAAAAAGTAAACTTATAAAACCTAAATACTGAGCTCATAAAAGAGGTTGTAGGATTCCTGCACTTCTTATAACAAAGTTATAAGGCAATCATTTAGCAAGGATCTCTTATTTTCGGTAAGTATTTCCTTCGTGCAGAAGTGAATGGACAACACAATAAGTGACTTTAGTCAGTTTTGAGTTGATCCAACAATAAATGCAATCATTTATATACACAATCAAACAAGCAATCTGTTTAATTTTAATTCCCAACAAAACACATTTGGTGTCTGGTTGTTAGCTGAAGCTGGTACGTGTTTTTGTGTTTGTGTGTTTGTGCAGTGGGAGCCGCAGCATGCAGGGCTGTCCTGTGAACAGTACCAGTCCTGGAAGAGAGAGAACGATCCAGAGTATCAGAAACAGGGCCTGGCTGGATACCTGAGAGACAACGGCATCAGTGAGCTCTCCCTCTCTCTCTCTCTCTCTCTCTCTCTCTCTCTCTCTCTCTCTCTCTCTCACTCACATATGCATTTCTTACTCATTATGTAACAAATGAAATATGCTAACAGTGGAATGATGGAGCATTTAACAACATAGGAGCAAAGCTGCAGTGTTTTCAGACCTCAAATACTGTGAAAACAAGATCTGTGGTGATCTTTCATGTTAGATTTATTTCTTTTTAGTTATGACATTTATCTTCTGGCCCTCTGTGTTTTCCTGTCATCAGTTCAGTTTTCCCAGTACTTTCCTCACTTTCAGCTCCTGCCCTGCCCACTCCTGTTGCACCTGTTCACCTGTCGTTAGGCTCAGCTGTCTCCTTTTCAGCTCTTGTCCTTAGTTCTCAACTTACATCTGTTCTTTGTGTTCATTATGCTGGTCAGGTTCTCCATTGTGTTTCTTTGAGTTTATATTCTGTAGTTTTTCTGCTATGTTGCTTTTTGTTTCTGTTCAATATATGTATGTTTTAAGATAAGATAAGATAAGATAAGATAAGATAAGATAAGATAAGATAAGCCTTTTTTGTTATTGTACAGAGCACAATGAAATTAGTTCATACACAGTCCATCACCCTCACTATGTTTGCTTTATTATAATAATTAATGTCAAACTCTTGAACACAGAACTTCAGTAAGATCTGTCAGTGCTCAGAGTATAATCAGTGGATCAGTCTCAGCTACTACCACACCAAGTTTGATCTACATATCTGTCAATTGATGAAGTTTTATCATTTTTTGTGTTTTCTAAGATTGATTAGCTGTGGCAGCCATATTTATTCCAACTAGTCTTCCAACAGTCACATTTCAGTATGATAGATGTTAAACCATTTAACCCTTTCCCTTGTTATTTTTTTACACCACATTGAACCTGTTTTTTTTTTCCAACCACTGATGCTGTTTTTATCTCCTCTCTGTTTTCAATCCTTCTCGTGCCACCTCTGACCTCGTGCTCCCGTCTCTCCAGCCTGTCCCAACTGTCGGTTTCAGTACGCTCTATCAAAAGGAGGCTGCATGCACTTCTGCTGCTCACAGTGTCGGTACCAGTTCTGCAGCGGCTGCAACAACCCGTTTCACACAGTAAGTCCTGAACACACGCTCCCTTCTCTACAGCTGTGCTTCCAAAGGTGCCGTGGATGAGCTGGGCCAGGTAAAAACACCTGGACAGGTTTGTATGTTCGTTTTAGTTGTTTTGACAGCGAGTAAATAAATGATCTGTCTGTAAATACTTGAAGACTCGTGTCTCTTGTTGTCCTCAGACCTGTACAGTGGACGAGTGCAGTGTGTCTGGTCTACATGCTCATCATCCAAGAGACTGTTTGTTTTATCTGAGAGACTGGGAACCTTCTAGACTCCAGGCTTTACTGCAGGTACACACACACACACACACACACACACACACACACACACACACACACACACACACACACACACA